CCTGAGCTATGCGTCGCTCATAGCGCCGCTGCGGCTGTCGGACGCGTACCGCGCCGCGGTGCTCGAGTGGGTGCGCGCCCGCCGCGGGCCTTCCATTGACGAGGTGGTCGGTCCTTGGCTCGGCTGGAAAATCCCGCTGCCTCTGCCGCTCCGCGACGGCGGGGGCCGCTGGATCGAGCTTCTGGCCTGGTGGACCGGGCCCACCAAGAGCGAGTGCTGGCTCGGCGGGGGTCTCTTCTCTCTTCGCGCGGCTCTGCTGCCGGCGACGGTAGCGGCCGCGCCCGAGGCGACGGCGTTCGACCGCGTCCCCGACGACGCGTTCGGGGTCGCGCTCGACGCGCTGTCGTACCGCGAGCGCGTTGCGCTGGCGGCGACCTGCGCCGGGCTCCGCGAGCGCCTCAAGCCGCGGCCAATCGCGACCGACGTGGAGCGCCGATTCCTGCTCGAGGTCGTCGACGTCGTGCGGCGCGCGCTCCATCGTCCGGGCAAGCAGTCGCGAGCGTCCGAGTTCTCGGCGAATTGGAGCGCCGCGCTGCCGGCCCTCCACGCGCGCGTCGTCGCCGCCCTGGGCGGTGCCAAGTACATCAAGATGTCCGCCGGCAAGCAGGGCGTGGACAAGTGGACGGTGTCTCTTCCAGACGCGTCGGGCGGCGCCGCGTTTTCTGGGCTGCTCCTTGAGCTCACGGCGCGGCTCCTCCGCAGCGACGTCGGCGTCGGATCGCGGCCCGCGTCGGCCGCCGTGACGCCGAACGTCTTCGAGGCGCCGCCCGACCTCACGTGCCTCGAGGTGCACATCGAGTATTTCCTGAGTCCGAAGAAGCGATGGTGCGTCGATTACGCGTTGGCGCCCGCCGCCGACTGGTGCCGCCTCGTCGTGCCGGCGACGCTGACCATGCACCAGTTTCATCGCGTCGTCATCCAGGCGATGACCTGCGGCGACGACCCTGGCGGCTCCTGCCGGACCTGGTCGTCGACGATGGGTCGATTCTCCATCGAGGTGGACAAGACCGCGGACTGGCACAAAAGTTGCCTCCAAAAGG